CCCTTGTGCAAACTGGATTTCTATTTGCCGACCACAAATCCACTTTCGATCCAAATTATGGAGAGCATCTTCTGCATCACGGACATCTTCAAATGTGGTGAGTGTTAAGGTACTTGGGAATTTGAGTAGTTTACAGATTTGGTATTTAAAATAGAAAAAAAGAATCAGTTATTTTCTAATTTTACAGGTTTGGTTTTTTTGGTTTTTTTTTTTAAGGTCTTTTGGTCATGCTAGAGTATACACTAGCAAATTTATATTTTTCAATTAACCACCAGCTAGCTGAGAACTCCTATAATAAAATTAAAATATCGTAATATGACCATGAACTTGTCCATCAGCAAGCAGTTGCTATGCAATACTCTAACTTCTTTCTTCTCCCACTTGTACTTATGCAAGGAAAAAAAAAGGTATCCTTTTCAAAATACATCTGCTAATGGTCATTCCTTTCTCTCCACTACATTGACTTTACTAAAATTAAACCCTAGTTCTTAAATTATGTTGGGTATACCAACAGCAAAAATGAATACATGTCTATTAATTTTAGAATTGGGATAAAGCTTTCCTTTTTTTCACCGACTGATTTTAAGTTTAAATTATCTAATGCCACGAACACTTATACAGACCTTCAACAGTCTGAGATAAAAGCATCACTAAAACCCCCACACCAGCAGTCAAGTCAGACGTTCAGCAACACAGATATTACTAATTTTAATCCATGAGATTGACCGCTACTGTAATTCAGAAACCTTCTTCCAGCTATGTGACCTGAAAGAACGAATTGCTTTTCTCCTTGTAGCAACTCAGTTCATCAGCAGCATCACCTCTGCAGAAACTAAACTATCACATTGTAGGTATATATCTTGATAAACCAAGAACGAATGCACTTTCATTCAAGACCACAGTTACAATAGCACTCACGAGAAAAATATTACAGGTTTTGTCAATGGACTAAACCAGAATCATTCATCAAATTACTGCTTACATGACAAACAGAAGAAAAACTGTTATTCTGTAGGATACATCAGGTATGACTCCTTTAATCTTGGCCACCATTCAACTTCATCTTGACCTTTAACTCTTTAAGTGCTTGTCAGAAGGACTTGTCATGAGATGCTTGGCCAAAAATGACAGATGGCTTTATCTTTTACTTTGAAAAACAACCTTTTCCCCCTTTTGTAGATAAAGCGAAGCTTTGTCTCCCATTATGGCTTGTCCTTCTTCCAGCTTTTCTTTATTTTTTCTTTTCCCAAACTCTCCCTTCTCTTCAAGCCTGATCCTTAAGAGGTCTTTGGCTTGTCTACTTGCCTTAATTGTTGAACTCTACTCTAAAGGTTCTTTCATGCTTTCTCTTTGGGGTCGCCATTACTGTACAGCTTTACATTCTGAGGCAACAACAGAGGACAGTAAATTAGGGGACAATATTAAAGAAAGAAGTTCACCTCATTTTTTATACAATTTGATTTTGATCAAGTGATTCCAGTTTCCATTTGTTAAATTAACAATGAATACCAGCCACAGTTTGCTAAGCACAAGTTTACTTATATACTAGTGATAATAAAAACGTGCTAGACAATTTTGAGTCAGTGATAAATTTTCATTTAAATTATATCGTATTAATTTAAGTGACATAAGCAAGCTTTTATATTACTGGACTTGATTTAAGTTTTGCGAAAAGGCAAAGAACAATTGAGAGAAGTTAATCTTCAAAAATAACGAAACACCACAATATAAGTAAGACACTTATTAGATACAACACAAAAGTAAACTGCTTTTTCATTTAGATTTGTTACCTCTTACACAAACTTGAATTTCAAACTTCAACACCCCTCACTAATCAGCCATCTGAAGAAAGGATATTGAACATAAGCAAATCCTCTGGGACGACGAGTGTAGAAGTCAAGCGGAACGTATACATCAACTATAGGCCCATAACGACCAAATTCACGGCGCAAGTCTTCAGACCTAAAATACCACAAATATCTTATATGTTTTTTTCCCCTAAGGTGTTACGAAACATCCAGCAAACAAAAAACAATAATAATACATTAAAAATCTACAATCAATATGACCACCCATCTTTTTGGAAGCAGCTGGTAGATGATGCACGTAGCAAAACATTTTTGGGGAAGAAAGTGTTTGAGCAGTTCATTGTTAAGCGACACACTAGGCTTTTCCAAAATACTCAAGACTTGGGGTGCTTAAGATACACCCCGGCATTTTGAAACCAGTGTTCAGCATAACTCATAGAAGTGTAAATGGAGAAGTGATGCGTATTAGTCAATTCAATGCAGGATGTACTAGCAAAGGTGGGCAGAAAATGAAGTTATCTAAGAATTATTGTTATTCAAGCACCTCATGTAACTCTTGACAACGCTTTTGCAACATGCAAATATCAACCGTAAGATCCAAAGAAACAGTACGAGAATAAACCAGTCACACAAACTCATTTCCATAGAATAATCAATACTTACAACCACATCAAATAGAACAAACTCGAGTGAGCAACCATTCATGCCCTTAGGATAGCTTTTCCAAAGAGGTGGCTTTAAGAGAGCTGAGCGCAAAATTGTTGAACAGATCTGTAACTATACTGGGAACAACTACTGACTCCTCAACAGAGAGGTTTCTTAATCACATCAGCTTCTTTATTTTTGTGTCATTTGAGGACAATAACCTGTACGAGAAAGACTGATGTAATACCATATTTATGTGGTACGAAAGAGTTACTACTATTCATTTCTCTTTCTCATCCGTTGGGAAAGAATCTGCAGTGCATATAGTCAGTGACAGCAGAAGGCAACTACGACAACCAACATCAAGATCTCACAATGAAACCACCTCTAAGAAGAACGTACCGTCTGATCACAGATTTACGGTGAAAGCCTCAACGTTATTTTAAAAAGTTTGGAAGCAACAGTCTTCCCTGACTGTTCTAAGAGTAAAATAAACTAACCAAAAGAGGAAAGAAAATTAACTTTAAAAAAAAATTCATTTGAAGGTATTTACGCTTTTGACCACAATAAGGTTCCTAATTCATTCCATCGTGCCCATGGTACCGTTATTTGCTGAACAACTTTGGTGCAAGCTGCCCAGACAGCAAGTTTGAAAACCCATGCTTGCATTTTATACAACTAGACTTTACAGGGACTTCCATGCAAATTCTATAATAATTAACAACGTAACAGTGCTCTAACTCACATACTAGTTCTACATTAATATGCTTTATAAAGGTTTCACAGCTGATAAACCCAAAAGGGACACGATAAACTCCAAAACAGAAAAGGAGAAGTCTAGTTTACTAAAAAAATCCAAGCAATAAATAAGAACCTGTGCAATACACGCTGATTAATTATTTCAATTCACTACGAAAACTTATTTCACTAAGTTGCTGCGCATATTTAGTACTTACGGAATTTCGCTACAGTACAATTATTAGGGAGAAAAAGCATTGGTTTTCCCCCCAGTTTATAGTGATTGCCATATGAGGCCACGGTACATAACAATTAATGCAATAACATTCCACCCGAACTGGCAGCAATTATCATACTAACGGAACCAACTACGCCAAGAATTTTGGGGACACCCAGAGCAAACGCGCTGGTTTCTCCCTTCCAGTTAACAACCGCTGTGTTCCAGAAGAGCCCTCACGCCCGCTGAGCGTTGCTGAGGGGCACAGGCGGCTGTCCCGCAGCGGGCATGCAAATCCCGCCTTCGGCTCCCGCTGGATAAACTCAAACGCGGGTACCAGAGTTTCACTTTCTTCCGGCCCAGCTTTGTTCTTTCTGGACGTTGTTTTGAAACCGATCCGCGTGGAGAGGAGGGAAATACAGCATCGCGAGGAGGGAGAGGAAAATGGAGAAGGGCACGGAAGGGAAGGCAGGGGAAAGGTACAGCAGAAGAAGGGAGCAAGCCGGCCTCTCCCCCTTCCCTTCGCTCGCT